ATCTCGGCGTCTTTTCAGCTTCTCCCGGGCTCCGCCTTCCCCCGGCTGGGCATCGGCCACCCCTGGGGGCTGCAAGGGGCCCTCTCCTTCTCCAGCCCAAGCACCTAGGAGACTGCCAGTCAGCGCTGCTGAGGCCAGGGCAGATGGCTCTGAGGTGGCAGCAATGAACAGGTAATGTGCATGTGCAAGCAGGGCACCCCTGTCTTCCTGACTGCTGCTGCAATGTAAATGCTAAGAGAGACTCCAGAAAACAATGTTAAAATGCTACGAAGGCTGCATGGTTGAAAACTTGAAAATTAGAAAGTGCCCGTGCTTTCTTGTGCTCCTAGGGACCACTGGTACCCAGCAGGGCCTCAAGGAGCAGGAGCAGCCTTTGGGAGACCGAGGAGAGGGGAGAGGAGGTAAGCTGCTCCAGGTGAGAGGTGGAGGGCCAGGGTAGAGCCTGTCACAGGCTTCTAGGGCAAGGATCTAGAGCCACCTCTGACCAGAACTGGCTCATCTCAGGCTGTACCTGCACATGCAGCAACTGGAAACCAGCGCTGAAAGAGCCAGGACTTGGGGGGCTTCCTGCCAGTTCGCATTTTATTTATTTAGTCTTAGTACAGTATATTAAAAGCTTATCTCCATTTAATGGTGTTAATTATTGAGGCTCCCATAGAGCTATCTTGAGCATGCTGATGGGTAAGATGGGAAAGAAACTGGTCACCCGTGGGGCTGAGGCATGGAGGGAGGTGGGGCTATGCCAGGGATCAGTCTGATGCCTGTCAGCATCTCCTTTGCACAGGTTCATACCTCTGCCCCCCAATTCTGAGTAATCCTGCTGTTCCTGAGGTGCTGATGACAATTGCATCCGAGCAGGAAGCCTGGCCTGGTCTCATTTTCATGGATCCTCCTGGTGTGCGCTGTGGGAAATCTCTCTAGCTTCAGAACGGGAACAGATTATGCTTTTAAGTTCACATAAGCTATGAAACTATGAATATTTTCAGTGAAGTGTATAAAGATGGACAACCATCTTGCTCAAAAACCAACTCCTAGTGCTTGCCCACATCAGAGCTGCCGTTGCATTTGGAGACGACCTGTGTTGGTTCTGAGGCCGCGGCTAGACTCCTTATTGGCTTGAGCCTCAAACACACCCATTGTTTGCATCCCATTGTAAAACGCTCCTGGGTGGTGAGATGAGGCCAGGGCTATGAGAGCCTCTTTACTTGTGCTTGGGCAGGCTGAAGCAGAGGCACTGGGAAGTGGCGCACGCCTAGCTCTCTTTTCAGCAGTGCACGGATGTGGCACCCAGCTGGTCTGGGAAGGGACAGACATGCTTCTTCCAGGCAACTTGCCTACTTGGAGCTGCAGTCTCCAGTCACGTGCCAGTGGTCAGCAACATGGCCCATGTGTCACAAGCCCAGACTTAGCTACCCTGTCAAGGTGGCTAAAAGCATGAGGGGAGGGAGGAAGTGGGGGGGAAGGTTTTCAAGAGCAGCCAACTTGGACCCAACTCAGGTCCCGCTGGGGTGACTGGAAGCTGTACTACTGGCTTCGGCTGGAGCAGCTGGGCTGAGATGGGCCTGAGCCATGAGCGGTCGTGGGGCAGCAGAAAGCAGCACATGGAAGGCTGAAAAGCCACCTGGGGGCACGGCCAAAGCTGGTCCAGCCTCAGCCAGTGCAGCGCCACGGCCGCGTGGGCCGCCGGCCGGGGTGGACGGTGGGCTAAGGG